CATACGATCAGCAATGACATCGCTCGGTTCTCGCGTTGATATATATAATATATATATTTATTATATATATATATATGTATATATATATATATATATCACCACGCAAAAACTGCAGACATCTTGAGTGTGAACCCCCCACTCACCACCACTCGAGAAACTAAGCGACGGTTAAAATAAAATTTATTCCAGTGCTGTCGCGAATCCCCGAACCGCAAACCAATCTACGCAATCGAACTCTCTTCAAACGGATCATCGATTCACATCCGGTGGCTTCCCCACTTCCGACTTCTGGTTCTAGCTGCGCACCGGGTGCTCGCTTCGACCTAATATTGGCCAGCGCTGTACAGCATATACACTCGATGTCACGCTCCGAAACCCTGCGTGAACACAGAGGTACTTATATACAGAGATAATAATTTATCATCCTTGCATAGAGGGCCCCCGACTGCACATTAGCGCACGCATGGTATTATCGTCTGCGTGTTTACGCGACAGGGAAGTGACGCGCGCATGCACGGAAGCATTTCGCAGCGGCCGGCGCGGTCGGATAAACCCACTGTATAGTCTGTGGGCACGGTGCGTGCACGTAAACCTGCCAGCCACATGCACTTGCAGCGTTTCAATAAAATATAATGCTAAATAAATACGAAATCTATTTACTACCAAAGTCTTAATGTTTCTCTACTCTCTTTCGCCTATTATTGCCGACAATTTCCTGTAAATGTCGTGCAAATGCTCCTCTGCAACACTGTACACCGCAAGCACGCTGCCGCACACTGACACACATATACATCCTCGTCATTCTCAGACCATTCGCCCAGCGTTACCTGTCATGCGCACACGCTCTGTTCATGCACGCGTGTACAGCTGTGTTAGCGGAAACATCTATACAACGGACACCTTTCTATAAAGGACAATTTTCGGCGTATCTAATGAGTTGCAGTTCTACAGTGAAACTACATCCATAGCACGGACACCTGTCTATAAAGGATAGTTTTGGGTGTTTTCCTTGAACGACCCCTACCGTATATAGAAGTTTGGTTGTGTAGCTGGCGGTATATATAGTATATATAATAGTATTATAGTTTATAATATATAGTATATAGTATATAGTATATATATAGTATATAGATATATAGTTTATATATATAGTATATAGTATATAGTATATAGTATATAGTATATAGATATATATAGTATATAGTATAATATATAGTATATATAACTATATCAAATATTATATATAATATAACTATATATAGTATATAATACATATTATATAGTAATATAGTATAGTATATAATACATATTATATAGTAATATAGTATAGTATATAATACATATTATATAGTAATATAGTATATAGTATATAGATATATATTAGTATATAGTATAGAGTATATAGTATATGAGACATATAGAGTACATAGAGTATATAGTATATGTATATAGTATATAGTATATAGTATATAGTATGTAGTATATATGTAGTATTATATATATATATATATATATATATATATATATAATATATATATATATATATGGGTACAAGGTATGTAGGGGGTAGTAGTTGTGTATATATCAGGAGTGTATAATAGGGATAGCACTCCCTATTATACACTCCTGGTATATATATACGCGAGTAGCGGCACATGTCAGGTGCGGGTGTTGAAGGAGTGGTCATTGTGTGTGCGATCGCACAATAGACGACGAGCCGGGCGACGAGCCAGCACATGTGTTTTTGAACCAATCAGGAGACAGGATGAACCAATCACAACCAATCAGATTCTTCGACTGGATATGTTGGTTAGGAAAAAAAAATTCGCAGCCGGGCTTTCACAATAATAGCTTAAACCAGCGCGCAGCGAACCGCACACGGATCCACCGTTCATCGCTGTATACCATGCAGTCCCAAAGACACCACGAGTGGACGCAGTATCCCGTCTAGTGTAGAATAGAGTGCCGTGAGCATTGAATAAATTGATAGGTACACGCATACGGTATCGACTAGAGTGTAAAAGAATAGAATACAACTACGATAGGATATCGTGACATAGACTATTGATAAGGGGGGCGTAGTGCGCCGTACGAATGTAGGAGCATATACGCGTTCCTTTCGTGCAACGCATTATGAACTTCTACTGCACGGAAACGCTTTCTTATATATGGAACGTACCAAGAACTCATTACTGCTGCACGACCATCATTATCTTACATTGAACATAACGTAAGAATTCCTAATTTTCCTCGTTTAGGATCCGTTCTTCGGCATCATCATTATCGTCGTCATCATCACCGGCGACAGCGTCTTCACCGGGAAAGAAAGAAGGAATAAGGAGAAGCAAGAATAGCAACATCAGAAGAAACAGGAGAAGTAGTAGGAGGAGGAGGCGAGAAGAAGGGATAGAAGAAGAAAGAAGGAAGAGTGGAAACAGAAGGAAGAGGAGGAGGAAGAGGAAGAGGAGAAGAATCAGGAGGACGTAAAGAAAGAGGAGGAAGAGTTGAAGCAGAAGAAGGAAGAGGAGGAGGCGGAGGGGGAGGAGCAGAAACAGGAAAAGGAGTAGGAGCAGAAGTAGGAGAAAGAGCCTGCAAGATAAGTAATAGTGCATCAAAATCAGGGCCTAGCATCCGTTGCTGGAAGATGGCGAGATGCTGTAGTAGTCGATCGCCATGCTGTGGGGAACAATGCAGACTTCAGAGCTTCACACTAAGCAGTCCTCACAGAGAACGCTTTGGCACCGCTGCGGTAAGATATAGCACGAGGTGCCGCATGGAATATCCATAGTCTCTCTTCTGCAACCTCTATCTTTCTTCTCTTTCTCCACTTCTCCTCTTCTCCCCACTCTCTTCCCTCTCTCAATATATAAATATATATATATATTTCTATCTCTCTTACTATAACTCTATTACTCTCTATCTCTGTCTGGTCTTTTTACCTCCATCGCTGCCTCTGTCGCTGCCTGTCACTGTCTCCCCCCTTTCCTTCTCTTTCCCATGCACTGTATGGTACTCTCTGGCGCACACTTTGTTTCTCGAAGTTATTATTTTGATTATCACATTGACTTAAAGAATGACTGTTAAAATCGCTTCTTTCAGTGGCCGTGCATATCACCTGTTCTGTACATCGTGTACAGATTATTGGTCATGCTGTACTTCTTGGTGTGGATTATTTACTCTGGCTGGCCCTACTCAACAACATATCTCTACCCGGGTACGCTATGTATTATCGAACCAACATGGGTTAACTTCTATATATTAACCCATAAATTACATTATATCATTACATTTTATTAATAATCACATTATTACATTATATATACTATTATATATTATTATCAATTATATTCATTATTTTAATATCGGTTCATCAGCTCTTCCGCGAGGAATTTGTTTATGTGCTTGTGTTATGACGCAACTATCTTTATTTGGAACCACGTGTCACTGTGAGCACAATAAACATTATCTATGCGACTAACTAAAAACAAAACTAACAAAATATAAGATGACGTAGGATATTCCGGGACACACAGACGATCGGCCGTGTTACCAAAGACTAACATACGATAAGATTGTAATATTTAGCAAAATCTATTCGTACTTTGCCTTCAAACTGAAAAAGAGAAATGAATCATCTATATAATATACAGTAATACTGACTCTATACGAATAAGTAAACGCAAAATTATAGCGTAAATACGATATTTCCGAACCTTTCAAGAGGCACTTGCGATCGGCCGTTGAAAATTTAACTCTTTGTATACGATCTGACATCTAATAACATCTTTTCGAACATCAATGCTTTCAGGTGAAAGAGCGAAGTGGTTCATCTATATAACTAACCTGGGCTTCGCCGTTCTGAATCTTCATCTCATCCACGCGTTTATTGTCAGCGTCATCGTATACAAGTCATCTGTCCGCACAGCGAATGTGCAAGGTACAGCGTCGATATACTGTACTCACGCAGCGAATAAATAAAGTTTGATGGTATAAATGCTGTAACACGGGGCGTACAGTGGGAAGCGAATTTTCGAGAATGCTGTATTTGCAAACATGCAGCTCGGGTGCGTGTGCTCAGTATGCACACTTGTGTTTGATTTCGCGAAGAGGTACATTTTATGTGAACGTGCTGTTTGCGTTTCTAGTTTTAGGGGCAAACCTGAGGTATGCGTTTATCACGTGTACGTGTGTACGTGTGTACGTAATATACGTGTAAAATGTGGCTGTCACAATATCGTCCATAGACCTCCATGCGTTATGTATGCGTAACAAAATGAAAAAAACAATTATTTATGTTTACGTTTCAGAAGCGGATTCCATGGCGTCCGCGCCACCTCTCCCCTGCTACCTAAAGAGTGACTGGTTTCTCTTCAATTTGGCATGCAATATTGCCTTCACCCTCACTGTCTGTACGTACAAATTATTTATTCATGTGAGTTATGTGTCCTGCAAGTTCTCTATATCGTGCTATCAGATACATATGTCTGTAGGTGCCATAAATATGAGGAAATTAATTCTATCTAGCGCTTAAATTACAAAAACGTGAGATGACGCTGGCACAATCATGTAAATTCTCATTTTTAGCATCAACGTGCAGAAACAAGCGTTTTATAATTTAATTTTGTCTAACAATCGCGTAACGGGTATGTTGTAATGGACTGTGATGTCGTTAAAAGTTTCTAAACGCATATCGTTGTAAACGTCTCGCTGCCCACCGTCTAGGCTACTGGGCTTTATTATTCAATGGTCAGACCGATGGAGTCGACATCAACACCCACGCCATCAACTCTGTCTACGTCATCGTCGACGTCATCGTTAGCGCGACGCCGGTACGTCTGCTGCACATGTGGATAGCGCAACTGGGCGCACTCGTCTACGTCGTCTTTACCGCCATCTACTGGGCAGCAGGAGGAACTGGGGCGCACGGAGTCGCGTACATTTACTCGGTGTTGGACTACGGCAACGCCCCCGGGCAGGCCGTTATCACGGCAGCTGTCATCCTACTGCTGGTGGTGCCGATCGCACAAGTGGCATTGTTTCTACTGAGCGCCGCAAGAGGGAGTCTCGTCGATCATTGCTGCATCGCGACGCGAGACAAGCAACCGATCATAGAGGATGTCGTCATGACAACGAATCTATAGCGAACGAAAACACACAAAAAGAAGCAACAACGATTTCATTAGACGCGAACTAAATTTGAGTGCCTTTTT